TTTATCTCCTAAGTTCCCAGATGTATCAGCGGTAAGGTTACGGGTTTGTAACTCTATAATCTGGGTTCGATTCTTCGCTGTGGACAGAGTGCGGATAACTCATCGTGGAGCTTTGCACTAAGAAAGCAACAATAATGGTAAAAAGAAAGTGTGTTTAATAATGCACTATTATAACCACTTATTATATACATCACTTTAATAAGACTGTTATCATTATTTTTCACTGTACATGAACGAATACATGTAACAACATTCCCTACAGGTGCAAGACAGAGTTTATCATTTGTGAGAAAAATAAGTAATAAATCAATGCTTGTAAAGCTGTCTTAGCTTACTGTTGCAGACACGAAAATTAGTAGTTCGCACCTCTACCGGTAGACAGCGCAAGACTATGTGTAGAATAATTATGAATATATAATTTCTGACAAACATGGCCTAATGGTTAGCATACCCGGACTATGAATTCTGTACTTTTGGGACGTGGGTATCATAAGTACGGTAGTACTTATAGTAGGAATTGGCCAAATGTGCAATAGTTGTAATACAAATTAAAAATCTCAAAGACACTGCAAACAGCATGTAAACAAACATTAATAAACAATTTACACATACTGTTGAGCTATAAACAAATCAACTGCAGAGTAACAAGTCATCAAAGTACTTGAAAAAGTCGGAAAAGTAAAAACAAAAAAAAAAAAATTCACAAAACCACAAATTTGCCAATATAACTATTTGATTGACTGACTCACAAACGTTGTTGAAAAGTCATAGCTCTCTCCTGCCTTCACCTTATGTAAATCTAAATGCACATGATTGAATTACGCTACTTTGGCTAAAAGCGTTTTTGTTAGTTTTACTTATAACCTTGGTAATAACAATAACCATTTTGCAATACTACTAGCGAGCTAACAATACAGTAGTAAACATATTCTATGAGTACGAGCACGCTCTGTAAATTGCCAAGTAATAACCCGCCCTCATATCACGTGCTGATACAAGATTGCTTAAGCGCTCCGTGATAAATTTGCAGTTGTATCAGTAGGATAAAAAATGTGGACTATGTAGATTCTCTAGATCTAGGTTCTAACTATGATCTAACCTTTGAAAGCGAAGTTTTCAGTTTTATATGTCTGACTCGACGGATTTGTGTTGGACAAAGCAATTCTATCATAGCAATCGGTGCCTAGGACGTGAGTGTCCTACATGAGGACGAACGCCAACACTGCCAAAGTTTGACATGGCTTTGCTCGAGTGCTCTGGACTTAAAACAAGAACAAGAATTTGTATAATTTACATTTGTATTGTTTTCAAACAAAGTGTGACCTATTGACATCTGAGGTTGCTCTTGAAAAAGTGCAATTTTTAAAATATGGCTTTCAATGAAACAAAACTAAAGAAAAGGAGAAAATCTTGTGTTTGTAACCTTGAAAATACTTTGTACATGTGAAGAGATCGTTACTGCGAGAATAGAGATAAGATTAGAAACAGTAATGTTGAATATGCAAAACAAGACTTAGCCATTGATAGAGCCAAAGAAAAGGCTGCCACTCTGGCTAGATGAAAGAAAAATTGTAGCAAAGATATCAGCAAAAGCCAAGAAATGTCGATAGATAGCTCTAAGAAAAGATACGAGAAGTATAGGCCTAGAGTCCAGTCTCTCTCGAGACTTAGCACAAAGAAAAGCTACGAGAAGGATAGGCCTAGAGCACAGTCACTCTCGAGACTTAGTACCAAAAAAGCTATTAGACAAGTGTAAAACGTTTTATATATAGTAAGTAGGAATGGAGCACCAAGAAGTAAGAAAACAAGATAGGAATGGGCGGGATAACATTAGAACACTTGGTGGTTTTTGAAAAGGTACAACCTCAATGTGGGTGTGGCCATCATTCTACCTATTTCTACTTCATATTTTACTTTGAACTTTGATCCAATTATAGACTTGATTTGAGCGTCATCAGTAGCTAATCCTTTCTAAATGCTCAACAAATTTCAAAATTTCAAAAATCAGCGGATTTGTTACTATCCTTTTGGCCCACCCCTTACCAGTTATAATATCTCCCATAAGCAAGCCCGGCATGGCCAGATGGTTAGGGCGTTCGACTCGCAATCTGAGGATCACGGGGTTCAAACCCCCTTACACCAAACATGCTCGCCCTTTTAGCCGTGTGGGCGTTATAATGTGACGGTCAATCCCACTATTCGTTGGTAAAAGAGTAGCCCAAGAGTTGGCGGTAGGTGGTGATGACTAGCTGCCTTCCCTCTAGTCTTACACTGCTAAATTAGGGATGGCTAGCGTAGATAGCCCTCGTGTAGCTTTGCGCGAAATACAAACAAACCCATAAGCAAAGTATGCCTATTGGAGCTTCCTGTCTGACTTCCGACATCAAACACCCCCCTTAAAGTGTCATGCACTTTGTTGGGGTCACGTAATTTAATTACATGCATATATCTGTACTTGGTTGCTGAAACCAAGTTTATAACAGAGAAATTTAGCTATATACACGTTTTATTTAGCTTAAAAATGCTCATGACGTGAGACTGGGAGGAACGGTGGCCACACCCACTTCAAGGTTGCACCATGTGAAAAACCACAAAGTGCTGTAATGTTATTGCACCCATTCCTACCTTGTTTCCTTAATTTTTTGTGCTCACATTCCTACTTTGTAATATTTTTACTTAAAAACTTTTTACATTTGTAATATAAAAGTGATGGTCAATTCCCACTATTTGATTAGATAACAGTAACCAAAGAGTTATCTGTGTGTGTGTTTTTGACTAGGAGTTGAAAATCATTAACGATTATGTGTAAATATCCATTTGTTAAGTTCAGTGCAAAATGCTGAAACAAACAAATATATAATTTACTTAAGTCAATGGTACGTACATCTTCAGTTACTCTAGTCTAGTATTATGGAATCTATATAGTCCATCGTTCGCATTTAGTTTTCTTATAAATTAATAGATGGCACTACATGTTACATTACGCACTTCCAACCAATATTAGTGATAAGAAACTCCAATATACTTTTATATCACGTGTATTAACTTTTCTTATAGTTAAAAGTTAATGAAAGCAATTGACCGAGATTTTGAATAGCTTGTATATTTTTTGTTTATTTTTATCTTAAGAAGTTGATATCTATTATATATAAAATTTAATGAGCTATTTTATATTTTAGGTAGAATTATGTTTTATTAATTATAACATTGTTAATAATAATAAGTGGTTCTATAAATCTTTAATGGTTGATTTTCTTTGTTGAATTTTAAAGAAACATTTGTCAAGTTGTGATTAATGTGTACTAATAATACTACTAATAACGTAATTTTAATATAAGCTAAATACATTTGTGTTTAATTGTCTTAAACAAAATAATAAATAAATAAAAATTGGAAACTTGCCATACGTGCTGGTAATAAGGTGTTAAAAAACTGCGTGAACCAGAAGTTGAAAGAAATTATCACCAAATTAATTTAGCTATATCCTGAGCTATTTATTTCATTACGAATCTACGATGTAGCTATAACATAAAAAAACGAGTAGAATTTTTTAAAGCTTGCGACAAATGTGCTATTTGAATATAACTGTGTGAGAAAACTAGAGTTAGTCAAAATAATTAATACAATCTAACGTAAAACAGGATACTAGTGTTACTAAACCAATAAGAATATATTAAACTTAATTATGTTTTATTCAGTTCAGTACACATTGAAGGTTCATGTATCACTTGTAACCACTTGTTCAAAAACTGTTATTTGTATAGTGGTTTCAAACCTGTACAAGATGTTTAATAGAAAAAAATCCTTCCCATCACTTAAACTCCCCGTGAGAACGGAAACTAAGTAGAGCTTTTCAATTATTTTAATCAGCTGCTAGGTAATTATAGTTGCGTGTTTGAATCCGGCTCTGTCTTATTTTGCAGTTAAAAAAGTTACAAAATTAATTTATATCTTTATAAGATTGATCTTACGGCGTCCTACAAAAATGGCATTACAATGATAGTAATTTAATGAAATGAAAACGTATAGGTACAGCATTCGAAGTTTTACTGAGCCGTTGACTGGTTAAATGTCTGATATATGAAATTTCGGATTCGAATCCTGTACATCTTGGTTTTCATTTCTTCAAAAAATGTATGGTTAGAGATGTTATATTCCCACCGGCATAGGAAATCTTCTTAGAATTACAACTGCCTTATCTAAATAATACGATAAACACTTTTATGGTTTCGTTTCAACGTCTGGTTTGGTGTGTTTTGAATTTCTTGCAAAGCTACACGAGGGCTATCTGCGCTAGCCGTACCTAATTTAGCAGTAAAACAATAGAGAGAAGGCAGCTAGTCCTCACCCCTTACCGTCAACTCTTGAGTTTCTCTTTTACGTAAGAATAGTGGGATTGACTGTCTCTTTATAACGCCCCCACGGCATGTTTGGTGAGATGGGGATTCGAACCCGCGACTCTCAGATTGCTAGTCAAGCTTAATTGGAAACAGATCTATTCCAAATATAAGTGATTAATTCTTTATTTTGTGTAATAAATATTAGTTAACGTTGCGCTGGGTTGCATATTAAAATGTCAGGCTTTTGATGACAAAGTATTCTCACGAATTTGTTACTTTTGTGCATCGAAGTTTAAAAACAAACATTATTTTATTAAGGTGTCTTTATTGATTTTCATTCACAGTTTGAAGTCAAACAAAATATCGCCGAATTCTGAAATTTTCCATTGCACAATGATACATTTACATATACGTACACACAAGTGGAATATTTCTGCGAGAAAATTCTTAGCTCTAATATAAAACCGTTAAACTTATTTCAGCCAAGGTTGGTAGTTCATGTTATACATGTTCCAACCATGCACATCCTGTTCATACCTACGATAAAATATGATTGAAACATAAAAACAACTAAATATGAAGTAGTTTCATTAAAGACACGCTATGTGGCTCACTACGGCAAGCACTCGAAAATAACCAAAAATACGAACACATCTGCATCATATTCATGTTTTGTGGAGTTGAATTGATACCCTCTTTTTTGAACAGACTACACTGTACGTGCGTAACTTAAGTCTGTATAGATATAGGGAGACCGGAAGTCGGCCGCCCTTCATATTGGACTCCTTTCTCGCTAGAATCATAGCACGGACAAGAAAGGGCATGAAATTGTTTAAAATCTAATCACAACCATCGCACATACGTTATACATTGGTCCTCGGTCATTACGAAATTTTATTTTGGTGTATGCGTTAGATTGTATAAATATAAAGACCTTGGAAAAGTCAGTAATTCGACCTGTAGTAATTATCTTTCAGAACCTTATCTTTGATTCTCTGGAAGATGAAACAACTACAGTCAGTAAACAACCTTCTCATGGAATATGATTTACCTCGCCATGATTGTAAGTATTAAACATTTTGAATTCATCCGTGTTCTACTTATAGAAATCATTCCACTCTTTTTTTTTACTATACAGGTAACCAACATAAAGTCACTATGGGACCACACTTAAAGTCATCTTGAAGGCGATGATGAACAAGGGTGGTCGCGAACAAAAGAATCGTCAAGGTCTACGTTTGGAGACTTCCGGATATTTGTGGGTCTTGTTTCTACGACAGTGATTTCATCAGATGAATCAGAACTATGAGACGATAATTCTTCTGGTTGGTGTTTGTTTGTTTGTTCTTCCTCCTGCTTCTGACGTTTGTGTTTGGTCCTTCTGTTTTGGAACCACACTTTCACCTAGTGAAAATAAAAATACTGACTGTGGGAAAATGGATGGGAATTATCAAACGTTTCTACTTCTTCGAAATTTCTTAATGAAAGAATTTTTATGCCATAAAAATATAAAACTTTAATATTATGAAAGGACTTTCCATAATTAATTTTTCATTTAATTTTATTGTGATGTGAACATAAGGACAAGAAAATATTTTTAAGTTGTTCTTAAGTCCATTATAATAACAGATTTTGTTTCAAAGCTCAATGTTTAGAATTGCTGGAGAACATCTACTGACCTAAAAACAATAGAAATTTGACATTATATATTAAGAGTAAAGAACAGGAACTTGGTTTTTTGGTACAATGAAAGATAAAATATTTAATAGAAATTTCAGCCCACTAGCTTCGATAACACAGTTACTAACGTCAAGGCTAGTGTTACCGAAAGTAGTCGGCTAACACTTATAATAAAGATTTTATTTTCATTGTGTCAAAAAAGTCGTTTTTGTATTTTATTCTTAATGTAATAGCACAATGTGCCTGAAAAAAATGATAAAACTTGATTCTACTAAAGATCAAGGAAACGAGGAGAAAACACGTATAATTAATTCCTCATGGTCATATTCTAACCGCCACACCTCAATTTACTGATATGCTGTCGTTAAGCTTTAGTTAAATAACACTTCATGAAATTTACTTTAGTTAACTATGTGAGTTTTAACCAATTTACTCTAAACAACACAACTAAACACAATACATGACGAAGATAAACCTTCTATCAGATTCACCTCAGGTTTTCGCCATTTTTCTAACTAGAGTTACTATCTATTAAGGGTCTTTTAAGGGTCGCTATTACATATTTCATAAATCTTTTAAAATTTAACGTTAGGCAATATTTATAGTTGGAGGCAAATTGTATACAGTTTAGTGTTAAATAAGTGTCGATGTTCATACCTAAATAGTTCGAATGTTATCTTTCGTACATGTTTCATACATCATGCCAAGCAACGGTATATTTGTTTATATTAGAGCAAAGCCACATTAGATTATCTGCCGTGCCCACGCAGGGAATCTAACCCCGGATGTTAGCGTTGGAAGTACGTAAACTTACTGCTGTCCAAACCGTATATTACTACATATTATATGCAGGCAGTTTCTTTTCGGTCAAAGTTTAAACCAAAACGTTCTTGGCAATCGGTAACAATTATTTTTAAATAATCACATTTGTGATATTTTACAAAAAGTTTAAAAAGCTACATTTTAAATTATTATATCTTTTCGTCTCCAAAGCAAGAAATCGGCATCCGTAAACCATACAACATAGTTTTGAATTTACTTTATAAACTAATAGCTTCAGAAAGAAACAACAAAAAATAAAAAATGTTATCCACTTCAGATCTTGCTTTTATGTTGCTAGTAAATATGTACACTCTTGTCAATATTTTTTGCCTTCGAAACACATAATTAACGCCTACTTGGGAATAAACTCAAATATAACCTTAAATCTTAAAAACATTAAAATGATTATTTAGTTTTGATTTTTTAACAGCCTACGTAGTTGTTTATAAGATACGAACATAAGTGTTTCCGCCTTCACGTGGCGCTCCCCAGTGGCACATTGGTATATCTTCGGACTTACAACGCTAGAAACCTGGTTTCGATACTCTTGGCGGGCAGAGCACAGATAGCCCATTGCGTAGCTTTATGCTTAATTACAAACATATATAAGCAAACAAAAAAAAAACCTTGAAGTGGCAGAATAAGTTAAAATCAAAATCACTTTAAAATCAAAGTATTTACTTAATTTGATGTTTGCATGCCTTTGCTTTTCTATAGCATCAATAAATACGGAGTCAATTGTTTTTAGAAGAGTTCACTGACAATGTTCACATTGAATCTTTCTTAGGTTACATGAACAATGCAAAAATGTAATTCATATTAAACGCAGTTTCTGAATGGTAGTTTTAGAGATTTCGTTGTAATTATTCTAGATTCAAAACTGCAACGTTGAGAAATATCTACCCAGTCTAGAAGAGCGTTAAGATATTAATCGTGACTGTTAAAACCTAATTATTCTTTCTAGTTTTCGTTTTTCCAATTTCTTTAAAAACACGGAGCTCTGAGCTCTTTTTTATTTATAAAGTGATAAAGCAGGAAAAAAAAAGCGTACACATTGCTATTGCCAGACACAAGAACTAAGACACTGGGTAAGAAAAGAAAACCAAACCACAAACAGAAAAATTGAGTCACGGAAAGTCCTAAAGAAAGCTAGAAAATAAGCAAAATTGTCTGTTTTTTTATAGTTATGTTTATAAAATTAATATTATTACATATGAAAGGTTATTTCAAAACTATACACACCCAGTCACATTGTCTTTCATAGTTTGTATAAACCACGAGGCTGGTGAACAAATAACTAGAAATGTGTCTGTAAATCGTTCATTAAGAATAATCACATCTTTAATGGAAATATCAAGATTTTGCCCATCAGCGAGAGTTACGAGTATACCAATAAAATAACATTCTTTTGGGGAATCTCATGAATGCAAGGGTCTCAAGTAATATTTACTCTAATCTGTTAGACAATGTGTTTATGTCAGCCCAAATTTCAGGAAGCGTGTGACACCAGATTGTAGCTACGTTTGACAGTGAACTCTGACTCGTGACACGAACCAATACACAAATACCAAACCGTACAGTGATTTGACTCGTGCCCCTGGCCACCGTAAATGGTAAGGCAACAGATTGAATGTGACAACCATGAATGGCAATGATAGTATCAAACGTTCTTCCTTCGAGAAAAATGACCTTAGGCTGTGAGATTGCCATCCCTCTAGTTGGGTTAAGGTTAGGGTTAGGAATCGGTCCAGGTCTCACAAGCTTTGACTGACAGCCAGATCCAAATCTTGCTTCGGCTATATACGCAATTGTCCTTTTTCTGACCACGTTGGTGATACGTGTAGATAAGCTGAGATAGGCCCACCCGCGTTGTCAGCACTGAGGCGCGAACTGTCGGTCGTGGAGTAAGCCAATTGCTATATTTTACACATACACACATATATATATACAAAATATACAATTACTCCTAGATAAAATTTAGATCTCAGCTGGGTAGCCGTATGGAGCGTGTCATGCTGCAAATTATATTCTCACTTTACAGATTATCCAAAGATTGAAAATGGTTAAAAAATAATACCAAACTCAATTTCTACTATTTATATTCTACTGAAATTATAGTTATTTAATAAAACTCACAAAAGCCTGTGGAATGAATATGTATATACGTTTAAGTCTTCATAAAACATGATAACTCATAAATAACGCGTAATTTTAACGAACTTCTCTTCCGAAACGACAAATAGAATTAACAACATCAATTTCTGTATTTTATAACTATTTTAACGATAAAAAAATCAATCATATGAATCAGTGTTTCAAAATACTTTACAAACATTTCAATAACATACAAATCTCCTTATATTATCTGTACATATTTAAAACCTTTATAATGAAACTCCTAATTAGACATATTTTTTATTTTAACTCTAGTCCGATTTAATTGGCCCGTTCCGTTTACTGAATCCAATAAAATGTAATTATTCCCTGTAAACGTTGCTTCCTTCTAACAGAATCAAGTTATGAGAATTCGACTTCTATATAGTTATCAACTATGAACAAACCTGTAAAGTTTTCAAGTCTGATGACTTTGGCAATTGCCCCACCAAATACTAGGCACGAGAACGTGACATCAGTGGTTACATATCTCGAGCCTTCATAACGAAAGCGTTCTTTTTGGCTTTTACATGTTGTAATTAAGGTCTATTTCATTGGTCGTGAACATGTAAAGAACGTTCTCCATAACTAGATTCAAAAACCGTAAATTTGCGTATTTTGCTTGGGTTGAACAACTAATTGCGCATTACGAGTATTTTGGGGTCTTTGTTACCCCACGATATTGCAGGCGAATGTAGTTTATTACTTCCAGTACTGCCTATAAAAGGTACCGGGTTAAGATTTGAAGCATGATTTCCTACGAACAGTGAAGGCATTCAGGTTCAGCCTTTATTTTCTAACCGCATACCAGAAGGACGATCTTGAGGTTGAGTTTAAGGCTTGGTTTTGGTGCCTTTCATGCATTTGTGCACAAGTCTTTAAAACGTATTCACGAAACACACGATGTTTTCTATTAATTAACACGGACTTGCCTCAGTTATATATGTTCACATTATTGCACGACCTAACTGTAAAAGGCTTGAGGTGTCAATAATGTTGTGAATCAATGATTAATTGCCCTCGGAGATTGATTTTAGAACCTAGAGCTGAATGTCTCAACTCTTTTGTCATCTAGATAATTTGCATAACCAACTGTTTCAGCATCTGATTGGTTAGAGCATGCTGGCGTGTCTTGTTTTTACAATATGGCATTAATCCAGCAGACTGGCGCGTCATTAGTACAATATAGCATTGATTCGGAACTACATTTTTCCATAAAGAAAACGCTACACACAGTATTAAAACCCCATTTCCTTGTTTATAGCAAGCTTTTTATGACCTAGGTAACAAATTGTACGTAACATTTATTATTGTGACGATACTGTAAATTTATTAAGTATGTTTCAGTTTTATAACAATTATAACTCGGGTGAGGAATAACACCAACATTATGACAGAAGAGGGGGACAGTAAAAACAGGAAGTCTCTGACCTCGATCTTTTTATTATATATATAACTTCATCATAGTAACCGTTTCAGACACGATTAACCAGTAGGGTCAATTATTGCTTAATTTAAAAACAAAATCTCACTTGTACTGATTTCCTTAGAGATAAAATGTTCGTGGTGATCTCCTGCTTTACAAAGTTATGCTTGCGTAGTTCTATGTTACAGTTTTATAATTAAACACTACGCTAGTTATTTTGGTAAATTAAGAGTATGCTACACCTTGAGTTTGTGAGAAAGCATAACTGACGTATGTATATCTTTTTACAAGAGCTGAATAAGACTGAGTAATGGAATAAGCAAGTTAGTTACACATATTGTTGTGAAATGAACAATAGGGATATAAACCCGACTCTTTTGTAATATGTCTTAGCAGTTTTCTTCAGATCAACCGAAGTTTCTGTTAGACTTTAAGAAATTTAGTTGAAGTTCCATAAGAATACGCTTATGTTTTGCAGATGTTTTTATTGACTAAATTTCTGACTCAGTTGAGGGTCTACGACATTAAGACTAAGTTTAAGTTTCTCTGTTATTAAGTTGATAACTCACTAAAGTTTCTATGAGTCTAAACCACTAAACTTATTTCAGTTTCTTGAATATTAAACCAATGATTCACCTGAGTTTCTGTGAGACTAAACTAATGATTCACCTGAGTTTCTGTGAGACTAAGACTCTGAGCTAACTGTTTTCTTTCAGCTCCCACGACGTAATGACTCTTTTCAAAAGCATGTTCCAACTTCAGCAACTGGGAAGGAGAAAAAGCTGTTCGGATTCTTTTCGGTTTTCTGAACGGATGAAGTAAAAAATCTGGACCTGTAGTAAAAAAGAAAGTTTAGAAAAAAGTCTTGTTGATAAAACAAATTATAAACGTGAATTCATGAATGTCAAAAATATCAAAAAACTAAGTCATATTTTCTCGTACAGTAAATGTTAAATTGATAACACTTTGATTAGTTGGTTGTAGTTAACCTTTCTCATCACAAGTCTAATGAACTTATATAAAGATAGAGAAACTGTAATAATCCCAACATAAGTGTTTACTGGACATAGAGAAATAAATCTTTCTCTAGTTAAGAATTAAATTACGTTTGGAAGATTCTAATTTTTATTTCATCACTAAGAACGTTCTCAAAAAATCCGTAGAAAGTTTAGAATACTTGAAATGTTTAAATACAGGAAAAAGCTATTAAATGAAACATCTATAAATACGTGTTACAGCTGAAATAATTGTATTCTTCTTCTGCATGTTACGTTACATGGGTTTCCGGAATAAAAGTTGATGATATTTATATACATATGTAGCCTTTTTCTTGAATGGTTAGTTTGATGTTGGAGTAAAATGTGTAAGCGTAGTCGCTAGTTACATGTTGATGTCAAGAGAGACCTGAACAGTTTAAACTTAAGTTTTTTCACACATGTTACGTCTTTAGATGCCCAAAACCTATATTTGAATTACAGAATTTTTTCTCCAACCATAACGATTTTTATATTAAAATATTTTGGTATAATCGGGATAATATTTTTTTAGATTTCTTACAAACAGCGCAGATAGCCCTCGTGTAGCTTTGCGCAAAATTCAATACAAACCAAACCCATTTTTACAAACACAGAAAAGCCGTCTTACTTAATTTGCGGCATTCGTTCTGTTAATTTACAGGAAATGCTGCGGGAAGACAAACATATATTACAGTGATGTCGGTAAACGTATAAGAAACATTCTACACAATAGACATTTCATACCAAAGACTATACGTTAACAGCTTTACGACATTTTTTTCCCCCAACATACAAAATTTATTCAAAATTGTGCCCATTTAATAACGTCGATTTTCGTTAAAAATAAATCGAAAAAACATTGCTTTGTGAAGTAAAGTTGAAGCGAAAATAATTATTTTCTTCGTGAGAAGAGTGGTTTTAATCCCGATCATAGTGAATAGCAATAGAAGAACAAATTAATGAACACCGGCGGAACCTAGTGAGATATCGTTAACAGCAAGGGTGTTAAACTGATGAAACAATGCATTGTTATCATCATCAATAAAAACGTCAGAAGGGTGTATTTAATTAGCTATACTAATTGACAGGTTGATTTTTAGTTTCTCTTTTAGTGCATAGCTTGCTGCTTTTGGAAGTTAATGTTAAGTAACTCTTAGAACACCAGCCAACATATGAGTTTCTTACAGTTTTTGTGTTATCGATTTTATTTTTCTTATATTAAGAATATTTGTCTACTGACGAAGGATCCTCTCAGTAAATCGATTATAAAACTCAGTAAATTTTGCATATTCTACAGATTTGAGAGGAGTACTGTTAATTGATTACAGTTGTTAAAAATATAACAACTATCGAGATCAAATATGAAGCCAAGTCCAGATTTGAACATATTATACAAAATTACCAGCCTGAGAACGTTACAAAGTATAGAGCCGAAGAGAGAAGCTGCAGAACAAGCGGCCAAACCTTGTAGCTGTCCGATAAAAGAAAACCAAACGTTGTTGCATGTTGCATAGCTTCCGTGGTGAACATTTGAGCAGTTACTCTTTTTCTTCTACCAAAATTAGGAATTTTGTTGTTTATGAAATACTCGATTTAAGCAAAAATAGAAATGTAATTAGAAAATTAAATAAAAGGCTATACCGCTCAAACAAATGGATACAAATAAATTTACAAAAAGGCATAAAAAGGAAAAAAATCGGGAACATTCAAACAGGAAAAAAAAATTGTCAAGAGATTTAGCTATTTGCTGAAATTCAAATGACAAAAATTCAGATCCACAGAAACCGGCATACAACTTACTATGTAAAATGGATAAAAGTAAATTACATTATCACTTTCGTTGCTTTCAGAAACGTATGTTCAGAAACCTTTGAGTTAAATTTCAGAGTTGACACTATATACATTAGAGTATTATATTTTGTTCAGTGAAATATGGCGACTTTTCACTAAAAACTTTTGGAAAGACTAATATAAAAGACTTCTTAATAATACATCATATTTACAAGATATAAATTGTTTTTGTTTTAGGTAAATAGTTTAGTTACTTTGTTAGTTTCTAGGAATTAGTAGGATCACCATGTAATCATGTAACTGCCACGAGGTAGGCGTTGGTCGCAAATTTCCTCTAAGATATATAGTAATTGACCAGGATTGCTTTAGTAAATGCGCCGCGAAGCGTGTCGTGTACACCAGGGCCAACACTCGTACTGTGTTCGGGAACGGCGCAACAGTACGTCCGCTGATTTCGAAATTATTACTTTAGCGAACTACAGCCCTTTATAAACGAATTGAAATGTGTCACGTAATTTGTTGGAGCTCTTAAAACTGAGAAAGGTAAAATTTCGTGAACAGGTAAGATTCGAGAAAATCAGAATGTGACATGACATATTTCAAAGAAGTAAAGTTGAAAGTTCAGCAAGAATTACCTTCCCAGGCCTATTTACACACACACACATTAGTAAGCAATGTCATTGAAATATGTTTACATATTTGAATTAATTTAAACTTTTCTGTAACATAACAGATATGTTGCTTTTACAACCACTGTAGCTCTTCCTTCTGAATTCCTAGGAGAAATTCGATGACGAGGAACCCACTTTGAGACTAATAATGAGACTTTAATATAAGTTTAACATAACAGCAAATGTACAATGTTTCGACAAGGTTTTGTCATCATCAAGTTTCGCAAGTTTGAACTAAGATTTAGTGTAGTTTACTTATTTAGTTTCACCCCAAAGCTGCACAATGTGCTATTTGACCTTTGTCAGCTTCGGAGATCAAGATTCGAATTCTAGCGTCATTAAGGCTGATTCACCATAAAAATAAATTTACTTACAAAGTTATTTGTTAAATAAAACCTTAAAAAAATGGAAAACGTACCTTAACCTGCGCAGTATTTTCCCACAAGAAACATCAAACTCCATACAGGAATTCAATAGCTAATTGTAAACATCTGCCCAACTATGGTCGTGGGAGTTAAAAGATTAGACGTTAAACTCTTGCATAAAGACAGTTAACAATAGTATCCTCTTCAGTGTTGAATATCTCATTATGTGATATATATTTCAGTGTTATTCGATACGGAATTACTTTCACAGAGTTCTAGAATAATAATATACTTTAGGTACTAAAACAGCAAAAGAGTTGTCAGGCACGAAATGTATCCCAATTATTTTGCTTTATATATGTCATTTATTAGCTCCAGAACTTTCCATGTCGATATATATATATTCCTTGGAAAAATATTATTTAACTTAAAAAAGGATCAATTTTTTGTTACCTATTTTAAGACTGAAGTTAGAAATTATTCTCCCAGAACGTCAAGTTAGTTATTTACACAAAAATATAGTTTACGGTATTTCAAAACTACCCTGTGTACCATTTGAATGTACATTTTTAACTTTGGATACTAAACACAGTTTTGGATCGGTGTTCGTCTAACAAGTATACTTGGATACTGAACACAGTTTTGGATTGATGTTCGTCTAACAAGTATATCTTATTGTAAGAGTTCGGTTTCTTACTCTCTTGAGGCTTATAGTGTATTAACATTTTGTTCGAACAACCCTAGATGTATTGTACATGCGTATCACCACAAATGCTGATTGGATGCTGTCTCACGATACACGCTGAACAAGAAAGTCAAACAGATAAGGGGCGGAGTCTTCAAAGCTGTCGCTTCAGTTGTTCAGTTAATTAATTGGGTTTCTTCACCCCTGTCAAGCAGCAAAATGGAGCGTTAGTTTTAATTGAGAGAGTTAACGGTGGTGAAGGTAATAACCTGTTTAAACGTGTTTTTTACTGTTGGAAAACTAATATTAAAACTTCTGATCAGTTCTTGCCATCTTGGTTCAGAAAAGAGGTCTGACGACATTTTCAGCTTGTAAACGGCTTTACTTTAGCATAATATATATATATATATACAGTTTATTCGATTCTCAGCATAAAGTCTTTAGCTGCCAAAGTAAGTCTATTTTCTGTGACTTATGATTTAGGTTATTCCTTCAACAGTATATCCCCACTTACCCTGAACAAACTGAAGAAATATAATGAAATGCTGTGAGACATACATATGAACTTGCATGTGCTAAATTCCATCTATTCAAAGTTTTCACATGAAAACATGTCTTAGTTTTCAAGCATAGTTTTCAATTTTCTACTAGTTTCTCGCGCTTTACATATTTATTGTATATATATCTACATTTTTAAGACCATCGGTGCCCCCCCCCCCAGTGGCACAGCGGTATGTCTGCGGACTTACAACGCTAGAATCCGGGTTTCGATACCCGTGGTGGGCAGAGCACAGATAGCCCATTGTATAGCTTTGTGCTTAATTAGAAATAAACATACAAAGACCATCGAAAATGATAATCTATCTAAATATAATAGTACTGTCTGTTGTATGTCCATGTAACTGCTTCACAGAGTGTGGATGGATCTTCACCAAAATTGGTATGGAGGTTCATTTGGTCCATGCGGGGTGCATACAAACTTTCAGTTTTGCATTTTGCCTTTGCGGTTTTTATGGGCGTTTTCGCGTTTTTTACTACTACTTCTCTCCCTCTAGATGGAACTTCACCAAATTTGGCAGGAAAGTGCATTGGGTCCGTGGGGAAATAAGTTCAAATTATCAGTCTTGCATTTTGTGTTTTGCGGTTTTTATGGGTATTAATGCGTTTTTTTTTCGCTACTTCGTCCCCTGTTAATGGATCTTCACCAAATTTGGCAGGAAAGTGCATTGGATCCATGGGGAAATAAGTACAAATTATCAGTTTTGCAGTTTGCGGTTTTATGGGCGTCAATGCGTTTTGTTTTTT